TCTGCGACCGTCGTAATCGCCGATACGTCCGACTCATCGGGCGCCCTGTACCGTACCGGCTCTTGCAGGAGCTTGCGAAACAGTCGGTGGAAGCGCTGGATCTTTGGTAGGCGTTCCTTAATAGACTTGTTCTTGACGTTGGTCCGACGTCTTTTGGACAGGTTGTGCCTCTTGGCCCATTTTCGTGCCCACCTGAAGGATGCGCGGAACGCCGCCGCCCGTTGGTCCCCGGGAAACATCTCTCGCACGAGCTCCCGGAACGTGATCGTCAGCCATAGGGTCGATACCTTCAGCTTCCTCTTACGCCGCTCCACGAATATCTTGTAAAGCCTCTTTTCTGCCTCAGGAAACCACCGCTTAGGCTGCTGCCTGGCGAGGAGGCTCTTCTTCACGTCGTCTGCTGCCGCCGCGACTATGGCCTTCTCGTCCTTGGCCCACTTCACGATGTTGCTGTGGTGAACCTTGAGACGATCCTCTAAGAACTGAAGAGGTGTGCGCTCCTCCTCCTTGCAGAGGTCCGCGGCGTTATCCTCGAGGATGCGCAGCTGGTTGACAGCATTGGCTTTAACCCATAGTCTTATCGCTTGCGCTTGGGATCTCCACGACTTTCCTTGTTTTCGCGGTCCATAAAGCCGTCGCTTTCCAAGTCTAGATCGAGAAAGCGCTTCCGCTGGAGGACAAACGAAGCCGCCCCCGTCGCATCATCGACCTTCACGTGCCAACAACGCCCAGGCCCGGCTTCTTCCCACGGCAGGACACGCCCTTCGAGATTCTTCCGAAGCATCCGCCGCAGCCGCACGCCGTTGGACATGTTTGCACTGCTGTGCTGCGTTCTCACGTGGATCCCAAGGCCTTGCTCGTTCACGAAGGTCATGGTACAGTGAGGGCAGGATCGGCGGGAATCCGGGGCCGGAGGCGGGAAGGTGATACCGGATACGAACTCTTTCACTCCACCACGAGTCCGCTCAATCTGCTCGGTGCCATGGGAAAGGGTGTAATTGCCGTGTAGGGGATTCAACGAGCCATGTGACGTGTCAGTCGCTCTTAGTTGTGGCGCTGTTGAATTCAAACTTCCGTGGATGCCGCTGGCAAAAGTATCTACTATAGAAGTATGCACTCTGAACGAATACTTCCTTGAAAAGATTATCGTGAATCACACGAGAGAGTGGGGAGATGACGTCTGTTTCGTTTGGGTCACATTAGACTAATAAACTCACCTATTTTTTTTTTCATTTTTTCTCTTGCTTAGACTATCGGGAAATAAAAAAACAAAAAACACCTGTGTAGCAAAACAAAGCAACAGCGTGCGTCGGATACATATGTAACCGAACTCACCGGTTGTCCGCTGCCAATCGAGAACGCGTTGCAAATGTTGCCGCCTAAAGTGCCTTTCGCAGCTCTCTCCCTGGCGTGCTTCCCTCGATCCACCTTCCTCCTCGCGGTACCCGCTGCAGCAGCTGGTGGGTGCTGAGAAGGTGCAGCAGTACCTCGTGCGCTGCTGGCATCTTGTTGGGACGACAAGGACAGGCGGGTGCTGCTGGTAATGCCCTGGATTTCACCATCAATCTGCGCGATCCACTCTCCTTCGTCGAAGATACCGTTCTGCTTCAACCCACGCGCTCTTGATGGCGTCCCACCGCTCCTTCGCAACGGAGTGTCCCGCCTTCACATGTGTTGTTTTTATCGTCTCGAAGTGACGGTCAAGAATCAGACCCCGTCCTTTCAACTCTGCAGGTCAAGAATCAGACCCCGTCCTTTCAACTCTGCAAGTTTGCCAAGATCTTTCAACAACCCATGGGATAAGGGATTGGACAGGGACATGATCCCCCTGAACGGCAGGCAACTCGTGGCCCGCTGCACGTGCGTGGCCTGGCAGCCGCCAAGGGGGCGCGACGTGTACAACAGTGCTCACCCTCTGCAAATTCCGAGGTGTATGTATGCACCCACCTTCGGCACACCTACCCCCCTGCCAAATCCAATACTTTGATCACGCCCCCGCTCATCCCCCCCTCCCTGGTCGAATGTTCTTATCTCGCAACTGCTGAATGTGCTCTTGTTCTTATCTTTACCAGCAGTGGTACACCTCAGGCGTGCATGCAATCTGAGCACGTGTTCGGCAAATTCTTAATATTTATTTTTTAGCACGATAGTCTATTCCTAAGTGCCATATTCTCAAGTGCGGGCCTCAACTGTAGTCGTACATGTTGAATAGTTTCAAGCCTGGTGCTGCTGGATAAGCACGGCTGATCCGGTTGACAGGAATGAAGAGATGGTAAAGTCGTTTATTAGGTTGCCATCGTAGGCAAGGAACAGGAGCGAGTGGGTGCCTCGTGCGCCACAAAGCATCAAGCAACAGAGTAGTCGCAAGAAATTCACCGACGTAAAGACGCATAGACTTTTCGCAATTCGGAACAATTCCAACTACCAAAGACACGTCGGGAGATACCCCGAGCATCCACGCCTGTGGAACGGTTCCTTGCACACTTTCTCGCTCTCAAACCTCACATGAGTACTACCGCAGTAGCGTTCATAAGGATGACATAATCCACCTCACGGACAGTACAAACGTCAATTTCGTTCATGTATCACACTTTTCGTCGCCACATACCGGAAGAGTCGGAGAGATGGCACCCGCGTGTTAGCGTTTTTTTGTAGCGTAATTCTCCACAACTACTGGTAGGAGGGTGCAAACAGCAACCGATACCTCTCAGGAAAGTTCTCGACGAGATGTTTCCAAAGCTACCCTTATCGGCAGTGGTACCCCCCTGGTGGTGGAGAAATACGCTATACAAGAACGCTACCACGGGAGTGCCATCTCTCCGACTCTGATATTACGTACGGTGGTCGCCACCGGATTTTGTGGGAATATTCTGCAGTTGTCACATCGCAATTGCATGATTACATGCACAGCAGTAGTATAGTGTACATGAGATTTCTGCGCTGCCCATACGTGGAGTACGAGCAGCAGCCACGGACCTCTCAGGGCTCGGGGCAGCCAAGGCGCTTGTTTTTGGGGTGGCGGGCTGTGGGCTGAGGGGCCCGGATTCAACGGTCTTCAACACGGCGCTGTACCTTTCCTCCCCTCCCGGTACAAACGCCTCCATCAAATACCATTGTTCATTTTTCTTAAAATAACACAACGAATATATATGTATCTCTATCTGCCTGATGCCGCTCCCTGGTCAGATCCGCTGCGGGGACATAAAGGAGAGGTAGAGGGTAAAAGCTGCGACCAGTGCTGCACCATGCCTAGGGCGATTGAACGAGAGAGGTCAGTTTGTCGATTGTGTCGAAAGGTGCCAGCTTCTCTGTGCGCGTTGTCCGCCGCCGCAGTCGGCAGTCGGTAGTTCGCAGACGTTCAGAACGTCACAGGACCGGCCGACGGTTGTTTCGCATGCAAGAACTAAATTGACCATATTCTACATTCATTCTACACAGCCGTGCAGCGTAGCGGGCTGACACCCAACGATACCAAACTCGTCTCACGCAATGCCCAGGGGTTTGATTGTGTGTGGGGATGGTGTAAGAGGAATCCGTAGGACTTCACGGGTGAACAAGTTGAGCGAACGCTGGGTGCGGGCAATTGGTAGTTGGCCGTGGCCCATCGGTGTTGCTTAATTTCCGCCCCGTCGCGGCAACAATCAACAATCAACCACATTTCAATTTGGCACCATTGAACCAGACGTGGTCCGCTAGAGGGTCCCACCCACGGTCGTGGGAGCGTTAACCCGCGTACGAAGAGGGGAGAGGCAGACAGGTATTGTTCAGTGAGATCCAGGCCCAGGGAGCCACGGAAAAGTAGCGAGCGGGCCGGGCACCCGCATCGCCGCAAGCAGTCTCTCGGTGCAAGGCTCCTCATGTAGTTGTCAAGGGTTCTGGGTTGCGCGCACTCGCTTGTTGAGAGTTAAGAGTAGCACGGTGCGTGAATGTCAGCTGTTGCTGTCTCCCACGAAAATAGACATAGCAGAAAGCTGCCGTACAGTTGTCTAATGCCACTGCTGAGGGGGCCACCTTGCCTTGCACTTCGGGTAGGGAGACACACTCCTTGTGCTCTACTGCTACGTAAACCTGTTGGCCACGTCCTATTTCGCCGCAAGTTCACCGAAACCGGATTACCGTACATAGACACTTTTTTCCAGCAGTGTAAGATTTCACCCCAAAAGTGTACCTCTTCCGTAGCAACAATCATCTTCTCAATACCGATACATTTACCAAGGTCGTGATAGGCACACACTACTTTTGTAATCTGAAAGAAGCAACGTAGCAGATGTAAGTATACCGTGTGTTGAAGATCATGGTGTCACTTGTACTAAGACAGCAGACACGAACAGGACACGGCGGGAGAGAGTGCCGCGGCACAGCAAGCACTCCCGCAGGTCCGAGCCCCGTGGATCAATCATGAAACCAACCCAGGGGACTATCAATTCCAATCTGCGTAGCCACTTCCTACAGCAGTCCCGTTCGAATATTCTCATCCGCTCATGCACACAAAGCTCGTTGTTAGTAAACTTGACCGATTTCATAAGTCGCGAGGGAAGGGATTGCTGTACCCTTCTCGCGATAAAAATATCTCAGGCAGGAACCGCAGGAGGGGGTCCAACCCCCCCTCCTATGTGACCCCGGTTGGGTCGTCTAGCTGGTAAAAGTGGAGGATGGGGGCCAGAGGGGCAGACAACAGAGTCCTATAATGCGAGAAAAAAAAAAAAACACGAACACCCTCCCTGGTTCCTTACGCTAGTAACTAACCACTAGTGGGCATGCACACGCCGGATGTGACCAAAAAACCAAACGGACGAAAACCAACGCGAAAAAAAACAACAGGGGAACCCCGGCCGGGTCAAAACCCCACCAATATTCACCGTTCCATCAGACGCCCTATCCCAACTCTTGGCGAGCAATATTAGTGTAAAACTACCCTGCGAGGTTGATTCAAACATCTACCATGCGGCTGCACTACTGTCTGTTCTTCAAACAAACATCAGACAAACATCGAAATCACCCCCCCCCGCTGACGTAACACAGCGCACCGGGACATAAGGCAATCATCCAACATTTTCTGAGCGACACAAAACCGGCATGCATTTTCTGACAATTCCCTGTGCTCGTGGACGTTCAACAATGGTGCCCCAGTTTCTTTCTCATACAATTATACGTTCCTTCTGCGGTTCCAACAGTATCCCATCTTCCTGCACATTTCGCAACCTAGAGAACGGCACCACTCAGTCGCAATCAATGAGGGTCTCAACCGAATGACTACCAGGAAGTACTGAACATGTGGACGCGAACGCCTACGAGAAACACGGAACACCCTCTCTGGCTCTTCAACCAAAGTGCAGTCATGATAACTAACGAGGATTTTCCAACTTCGCTACGAATACCATCAAACACCAAATACCGTCAAGAGAGCAGTGCCATTGTCAGCGCTGTGATGCGTGTTGCTCCCCTCCTAGCGCTCGTCCCGGCCTGTAGCCT